GAAGTAGCGACGGTATTCCGTCCGACACAGGTTCACCTCCCGGTTGGACTCACATGAGTTGTAAGTCCGTCAGAGTTCCACTCAGATGTGGAAGATTGCATAATTCCCACGAGACTCGGAAGAACTCCGGATCATGTCTGGAACTCCTGTTCTCCCCAGCACTTCTTGTGTTCGGTTTGCTCTCCGAACTGAACTCGACTGCACTCGACCGCAACTCGACTAGTTGATTTATTGTTTATCGTGACAGGCCTACCCACTTCACTGTGAAAAGTGACAGTAGTGTTCCAGTACGTGGTTTCCATTCATGACAGGCTTGAGCCATGGTAGTTATTGGACTCCTGAACATCCTAATCCATCCATTATCTTTACCCGCTTCTTCCTTTTCAGGTCGCGGGGGTCACTGGTGTCCATGTCCAGCCATCACTGTGCAAGAGTCGGGGTACACCCTCTCCAGTCCATCACAGGGACACAGAGAGGCAATTTAGACAAACATCCATTCACTCTCTAACTCTCACCTAGGGACATTTTAGAGTTACCAATCAGCCTAACATGCATGTTTTTGGTTTGTGGGAGGAAACCGGAGTACCTGGAGAAAACCCACGCATGCACGAAGAGAACATGCAAACTCCACCCAGTAAGGTCCTGAGGCTGGAATTCGATCCAGTGACCTTCTCGCTGAGAGGCAGCAGCTCTACCAACTGTGCCACCATGTTGACATTAACAACAACATCAGCACCATCCTAATCCATTTTATTTTGATATCGAAGGTAACAGATCAGTATTGGTCAGTCCAATATCTGCTGTCAAAGAAATCCTTTCATTATTGGCAGAGAAGCTGCCAGATGCAGACAATCATGCTCACCAATGAGAAAAGGCCTTGGCCTTGTCAAGTGAAATGTTTTAGACCTTTCAGCAGCACTATTTGAAACGTATTTAGTCAATTTTATGTATAAACCTGTACATATAATGTAGACCTGTGTGGATTAAAGAAAATACACATGAAACCACAAAACAACATGCACATCTAGGTATTTATTTATTTTTTTGAAGTTGTATGTTGAACAATCCAATAAGTCTACCCTGGAACATTTTTTTTTTTTTTTGTACAAGGAACAAGTTATATAAAGCCCAACGAAGTGGTAAAAGTACCAAATTAAAATTATATTCATGCCTATATTGAGTAGATGAAAATTTTTAATCTTTACTGTATGACTATTAACATTAACTCCTGGGTGAAATTCAAAAATCAAAAAGGTCTTTTTTTTTTTTAACATTCATTTTGGGTTTGTGACATACCAAAAATGCAGAGAATTTTAGGTAAATTTTAGAGGAAGACATAGACCGGGACCAGACTTTAAACTGGTATAAATAACCCATCCCTAGTTTTTATTAATGGATATTGGTTTTGCATAAGACATCAAGGGTGGCATCGACTGGCTCTAAGGAATGCATTTGGTTCTCTGTGCAGAAAGAAGCACATCACACAACCGGCTCAACATAATGGACAACACAACCACAATACAATACACTAAAGGAATAGCTAGGCCTGTCACAAAAACAAATTTTGCTGGGCGATTAACCGTCTCAAAAAGTATTGTGACAAACAATAATAATGTTTGAAATTTAACAATAATGAATTGCCAAATTTTAGAAGGAATGTTGATTTGTTTGGAGTGTAGTACCTTTTTTGACCACCTGGTGGCAGTATAAGACTGTTTGAACCAAAAGATGGATAGTTGAGCAGCGTGTCTCTTTACGAAAAATGGGAAGGAGGGCCCTTGACGTGACATGGGCTGACATGGTGACATGGCGGACGCTTGGAGATTTGAGCTCATTAGCATAGCATTTTTCACAAAAAGCTTTTAATAATAAAATCAGTAAACAAGTTCTCAGCTTCTTTTTGCAGAGAAAAACAACTTTTTACACAAAAACAAGTTTCAACCGTGAATTTTGGAGCTTCGACAACAAGGACGGAGGTTTATTCCCGAGGTCGGCCTGTTAGCTTAGCCCGTAGCTTAGCTTCTCAGCTTAGCTGCTTTTAACGATCCAAAAACTGATTTTGGACGGTTAAGACAGATTTTAAAGAGAAAAGAAAAAGGGAAGAGTCAGTGAAGAACACCAGAGTTGAGCCGTGTCTTCAATAGAGAAAGACACAAAGAAACGATAAAGCCGGTAAATGAAAATGAGGTTAATAATTTTCATTCATTATGCGATTAATTGATTTATTGATTTATTGTTTATCGTACTAATACATACCTGCTTTTACTATAGTTCTTATTTTCACTTCTTACTACTTTCATTAACAAGTTCATTTTATTACAAGAGCTAACTTTAAATGAGTGTGCTGTACTATTGACAGTATCAAAGTTGTGACCAAATGTTAGCATGCCACAGTTTATTTGTGCCAACAAATGTGTGATGCTGCATCAAAGAAAAAGCTTGAAAAATAAATTAAACAAGCAGTCAAATTTCCTCTTCAAAGTCCTCCAAGGAAAGGTCTGTGGTGTACAGTAAAATACTAAAGGGATGAAAATATAAGAATAGCCTTCGTGGCAAAGAGTCAAAAACGAATTAAAATAAGAGCCATGGGAATCAGTTAAAGAGCCAACAAACTACTAAAACTCCACAAATAACAAGATGTGTCTTATCTCTAGAGTAAACACAACCCGCATCCCACATTACCCTACTTAACCTGATTTAAATTTAATTTAATTCTCTAAGGCAGCAAACATCGGCCAAAAACTTGCCAGGGAAAATGTAAATAAATAGTACAGTGTGTTTCCATACCCTTTAAATAAGCAGTCAAACATGTGACACACTTCACTTCTCAGACAGAGAAAGCAAATGTTTAACGTCTCCTGGGACTGGAGCAGCTAATATAGAATATGTGTTGTTAAACATCTGAGTTAAACCACGTCTCATCACCTGAATGACTGCAGTTTGTTCCATTTATGAACGGAGGACAGCAGAATGGCAGGCTTTACAAACTGTGCCTTGTCTCAAATTTAGCCAACAGAGATGTGCACAAAATAAACACAAAGCAGTGCCATGTGTTTATGTCAAAGACGATTTTGGGAAAGCTGACAATACTGCCTCTCTGGCTGCTTTCATCTTAAATCAACAGAATGTATTGTGTGGCCCTGTGATGGACTTGCGACCCATCCAGGGTGTACCCCGCCCCTCGCACAGTGATTGCTGGACATGGACCCCCGTGACCCAAAATGGAATAAGCGGGTAAAGAAAATGGATGGATGGGTGTATTGTGTGAGAAATGCATGAGACTCCTTTAAATGGTCCATAGGTGAAGATGAGCTGCACCAAAGTGACACCCTTTAAAAGCTGCAAAAACCAATAGTTAATCAATAAAATGCATTATCAAAAGTGCAACATTTTCATCAGAACCAGTCAATTATTTTCATGACCAAAAAATAAAGCAATATGATTACAGCAAGGGCTACACTATGTGTTAAATATATTAAATAGAACAATATCAATGACAAAAAAAATTAATCTGCTGACACAAACTGCATGCCAGTAATTTATTTGGAATATTACAGCTTATACTGTCATGTTAAAATTAAACATTTTCTTAAATTGTGCTGACTTAAACGTCTTGATCTCAAAAAGTTCAAATTACACTGAACTGGTCAACCTGTCTGTTCTGTTGAATTTTTAGTGAGCTTAGCCTCAGACATACAGAACAATTAATGACATTCTATCTGAATTTGAAGGTCAAAAATTTGTAATAATCTTTTTTTCAGTTCAGTTAATTTCAGTTTATTTATATAGCGCCAAGGCACAACAGAAGTCGTCTCAGGGCACTGAACAGAAACATTCATATAAAAATAATAATTTAACATTATTTATCTGAGGAGCAGACTGCTTTGAGTTTAACTTCGTCACACAACTCTCATCTTGAGCAAGCATGAAGGCGACAGTGGAAAGGAAAAACTCCCTCATGAGGAAGAAACCTTTAGCAGAACCAGGATCAGGACAAGCGTCCATCTGCTTCGACCGGCTGGGTTTGACAGGAACAGGAAGGAGTAACAGATACACAATGGCAGGTCCAGAATCACATGTTAAGATAGAAATATTATCAAATGAAAACTATTCAGTTTTAACAATTTATTTAAGGAAATGAGGTCAGTTTGTTCTCCAGTAGTCTAAGCCTATAGCAGCATAACAAGTCAACCCTAACTATATGATTTATTAAAAAGGAAAGTCTTAATCCCAGTCTTAAAACTGGACAATGTGTCAGCCTCATGGACAGAAACTGGAAGTTGGTTCCACAAGAGAGGAACCTGATAAATGAAAGAGCTTCCTCCCATTCTGCTTTTGGAAACTCTAGGAACTGCAAGTAAACCTGCAGTCTGAGAGTGAAGTGCTCTGTTAGGAAAAAGTGGGACAATAAGACTTCTAATATAAGATGGAGCTAGGTTGTTGAGTGCTTTGTAGGTTAGAAGTAAGATTTTGAATTCAATTCTGGATTTGTCAGGGAACCAATGTAGAGAAGCTAAAACTGGAGAGATATGATCTCTCCTACTAACTCCAGTTAAGACCCTGGCAGCAGCATTTTGGATCAACTGAAGAGTTTTTAAAGAAGTATTTGGACACCCAGATAATAAACCATTGCAACAGTCTCATCCAGTCCAGACAGTCCAGTCTAGATGTGACAAATAAATGAACCAGTTTTTCTGCATCATTGTTAGATAAGATGTTTCTAATTGTAGTGATATTACGCAGGCAGTTCTAGTAACGTTTTTAATGTGGATAATAAAAGACATGTCCTGATCGAAAATAACACCAAGATTTTTAACATTATTGAGTCAATGAGTCACATTGGTGACACTAGTAGAACATATATTGTACTTATTTTATATTGATGAAAAAACACGAGTCCTTACCATGCTAGCATCGATGATCTGTCCTCTCCCTGACTTTGTCCTCTCCAGCAGTGCTAAGACTATTCCCAGAGCGCAGGTGAGACCACCACCGGCAAAGTCTGCTAAAAGATTCAGTGGAGCGTAGGGCTTTTCTCTGCTGCGGCCCAGTCGGGATAAAAGGCCTGTGTTGAAAGTAAAACAAACGCAAAGAAGAAAAAGGAGGGGAAAAAAAGCATACCGATAAAATATTACCTTATTTAATTTACAGACTAAACATCAAAACTGTAAGGTTAATGGATTTGCAACAAAGAAGAGTGGAAGGCATGAAAGTGAACAAAACCACTTTGAAGCGTTCTTTAAATTAGTTTGATACATTCGTTATTTACTGTAATTTTCGCTGTATAAGTCAGTTTTTCGCATAAATTAGCATGCCTGCAACTTATACAATGAAGTGACGTATGTGTGTCCCCCCCCCCTCCATATTTATAACACAATTTTTGGCTGAGATCTGACTATTTCATTCAATCTGACATAGAAAATATTGAACACTACCATTTTTAGCCACTAGAGGGCCCTCGACTAATATGGCAAGCCAAGTGTCTTATTAATAGGTAAAAGTGGCTATTAATGAGACACTTGGCTTGCCATACCAAGCCACCTTCATCTCGCTCCAGAAATAAACGTCAAATCAGCTGCATTTCACTGAGCCACCCAGGCGAAATGCAGCTGATTTGACCATTAAAGTGTATTTATTAAGGGAAAGTTCAATTGAGACTCACCTTTACTATAATGTCGAGCAAATAAAGATTGTTTTTAGGGGGTTATCTTGTTAAATTTCAAAGAAATGCACAGCGAGTCCTCCCTCTTCGCACTCCCACAGCTGCCAATCAGCTTTTGAAATGCAACTGATTTGACCATTAAAGTGCATTTATTAAGGAAAAGTTAAACTGAGACATATAGACATTGCTATAATTTCAAGCAGACAAATAATTGTTTAAGTGTTAATCTTGTTAAATTCTTGTTAAAGTCCTCCCGTACTGAAGTCTATAATTTTATAATTTGTTGGAGCAATATTATAAATAAAAGTCTGTTATGTTTCAGTACAATATTTTTTATTTATTTAAAGATTTAGGAAAAATAAATGGCAAACGTCCATTCTTATTCAAAAACAGCTATAACCAATACAATGACATTGGAGTTGAAGAAAAAGCTTTTAATCAGTTTTAATAAGACTCGACGCTTCAAGAGAGGATTTGTGCAAATAATTTTTTTTCTGAATTATGATTTTTTTTTCTTAGAATTTTGAGCTTAAAGTCAGAACTGAGGAAAAATGAAATGGCACCTTTGTCCCAATTTTCTTCTTTAGAACAGGATAACCTTCGTTTAAATAAAAAATAAATATAATAATACCTTGAAACTGTTTTAGTTTTGGCTTTGTACAAAATAAACTGATGGGTTTAAGTAATCAGTAGTCCCACTCAATCATTTTTTCCTCATTCTTGTGCAAATGTTCTGTGCAATAGCGTCAACAATTTACTAATGTTGCTAAAATATGAAATCATATAAACCATAAAAGGGTTCTATTAACATCAAATTATACTTCAAGCAAAATATGGCTGTACAGAATGTGTTTTGTCAGGAAAAGTCTACAAACTCATCCACATGAATATTCAGCTTCAAGTCGAGACAGCAGTTTGCAAACTCGTTAGAAATGTCGGCTTACAACTTGCAGAGTTGCACATATTTGTTTTGAGTAGAAAGAACAGCCAGTCATAAATATGTAATAGATGGTAAAAAAAATATGTGCTTATTTTAATGAAAATTGTTGTTTTCTACTAGGGCTGAACTATTAATTACATTTGCGATAATATAACGATTTGATGAAACAAGATTTTCTAATAGCAAAGGTTGCAATTTGACTGGTCAAGTGATCTGGTCACGTGATCTGGTCACGTAACTTGCGAGTGAGCGGAGCAAAGCAGAGCAGGGAGCGGGACTACGTTTAACCGGTTGCACAGTGGCATCATGTAAAATGTGATGTAGAGTCAGAAAAATCTTGAATCTCATCAGATTATAGATTAATATGTAACGAGCGTTAAATTCACCTTCCATGCTTGGGTAACCACACCATGATTAACCGCTACCGTGGTTGCCTGTACTCGGACCAGGACCTCAGAACACCACGATGAAAAACCACAAGGACCTCACCGCTAAAGTTTTGTGCTTCCTCAAAACCATCTTTAATCTGTCGCACTCTATCACGATTATTGGGGAGTCTACAGCGTTCTTAGGACACGCCCTCTGACCTCATCGCAACCCTGCAAAGACCACTCAGATCATGACTGTTATTTCTGACAACACATTTTAATTTTCCTGCACTTAGGAACGATTTTAAACTAGTTTATACATTAGTTTTCTTGCATTCATTACATTTTTACATATTTTATTAACGTTATGATCGAGGCTGCATTTAATCACAAGAAGTGAAATTATTATTTTTTTGTATGTAAACCCAGAGTTGGCGGGCTGTTTTGTATTTTGTCCAACAATTGGTGGAGGGCATTATGGACATAATTTCCCATAAGCAGCTTTTTTAAATGGTATTTTAAGCAGTTCTTTACATAAATATGTATTATATTATATATGTATTGTTGATGTACGGAGAGTTGAAGAGACTGGTTTGCGTTGGGCTGACTGTTATATTGTGCACATTAGAAAGGAGTTGCGTTTCATTTTAAGAGAAAAGGGAAGGAAGATGTCTTCGTCTTTACCAGCTTCTTTAGATATGTACTAGTGATAAGCCAAACTATCAACCCAGATCAATTTATTAATCTAATGTAATAGTGCCTATTGCATGTTACTTTGTGTCTGCTGTTTTGCTGTATGTCACATAACACAGAGCCCAGCAAGCTGTGCTAGTTACCTGTATTAGCCTCTTTAGCAAGCCTGCTGTATATTTCACCTGCTAACATGCTAACTGTTATACTTGTTGCAGATGTTTGTTTTCAAACAGCGTTACCAATGGATGTGCTTCTCCTGTAGACAAGCCATTCCTGACTGTGACGCACAACTGCTTTTAATGGGCATAAAGGTATAGGGACATTCTCCCCTTGGCTACTGTATGCAACTGAATGACAGCTCAGAAAACAGGTCCGTTTGCATGCATAATAAAGATATTCGGAAAGGGTAATAAACGTGATTCCATCAGTTTCTAGTGCAAAATGTACAATAATCACACCTAAATAAAGATGAACATCTGTGTGACTTACCTGACATGGCAATGTAGTTGATGTCATGTCCAGCTGCAGTGGAGAAAGACCCACTCTGACCATAACCCGTCAACCGAGCGTAGATCAGACGAGGATTTTCAGCTAGCAACTCATCTGGACCAAGACCCAGTTTCTCCATCACACCTGGACAGCCAGAAGTAAGTAAGTCCTTTTCGAGCATCATGCAGTATTTTTTATGATGGTCTCAGAAACGGGTCTGACCTTTGCGATATGGCTCGAGCACCACATCAGAGTTAACACAAAGTCTCCTGAGCAAAGTCACGCCTTCTGCTGATTTCAAATTGATGGCCACCGATCGTTTACCCCGAGCTTGGGTGTCAAGAGACGTGGGAGCCTTAGTTCGGTCCACACGGATCACCTTGGCGCCGAAGTCTGCCAGAATCATGCCACAGAACGGAGCAGGAGCCAGACCTGCCAGCTCAATAACTCTCACGCCGGTCAGTGCCATGAGTTAATGACTGCAGGGTAAAATGAGAGAAACAGGTCTAAGTTTACACAGACACTGTGTCATTAGCAGAACAAGGCTGCATCATGTTCATTTATAAGATTCTGCTGACAATTTAGTATCTTTAACCTGCAGGAGTAAACAAAATGAAAATATTAAAATGTGTTGATGATCTGTCAAAATATCCAGCATGCATGTGGTAAATATGTCCTATACATTTGACAGAAGTTGGCAAAAAATGCAGTAACTAATTCAAAGGTATTTATAAATGTGACTTGGTCTAAATCTTTGTTGTATAGTTATAATTCTACAGTTCAAAATCAATGTCAATGTTGTGATTTTACTGTATTTTTTTTTTCCTTTTGCTTTTTTGTTAATACTCAAATGATCAATCTTTCATGCATTTTTTTTTTAATTGTTGGCAATATAGGTTTTGCCCTAATCCTGTTTCTGTTACATTCATAAAATTAGAATGGAACGTTTAATTATCATTAGATCATTTTTTTGTAATTTACCTTTATTTTGTCTTTATTTTCCACTTTTACAATATTTTAACTCTTAATTTGATAAAGCTTTATGTAAAAAAAAAAAAAGAAAACAGTAACCTGTTGAGGTTTACGTTTTAATTTTAACTAAAACTTGCACATATAAGAAAGGTTTCATTTTTCACATAAAAAAAAAAAACATTAAAATGTTCTTGCACAACATGAATTGTGATCAGACAGATTTTATAAAATCGCGCTTACAAAAATGCTACATTATAGCAGTAAATCTTTATTTTACTTTGCATTAGTTCATCTAAATAAATGCACAATTAAAGAGCTTTATGAATCATGTTGACCATAAAACAACTAAACTAAAAAAAATTGTGTAAGCTCAGTTATCCAGGTAGATAAATACAAAAATGGTTAAATCAGGTCATTTGGACGGTCTGATTTAATATTTATTGTATAAATTTAAACTTTCCAATACTTAGTTATATTGCGACGTCATCAAAAGCGCAATTAATTATAGTTTACTTTATGTACGCCGAATTACTTAGTAATGTTTACTGTTTCCCCTCAAAATGTTAAACATAAAACTAGTACAAACTAGTGCTTTAAAACAAAGGATACTCTACAATTTCAATAATTCTCAGTTAAGTCTTGAATAGCAAAACAAAAACAGAGGAGTTAGCCTCCTGTGCTGTTATGAAGTTTTCTAACTTTGACTTTAAACTGAGAAAGTGCACTATCTTTTGTTTATTTGCTATTTTAGCTGCAAGTTGTCACTATTTGACTTACAATGACATAGTAAAGTGATATAGTAACATGTTTACGCAAATGCTAAAGAAATGAATAGGCTTTATACATAAACGCTAACATTTAAGTGTCAAAACAAGAAGAGGAAATAAAGAATGTCAAACAGTAAAGCTTACCTCTGCAGGAAAACAACTCTTGAGAAGAAGCATAGACGCTCGCGCGAGCTTCAAGTAGATTGGAGAGCTGTTTGAAATGTTTCACCCGTGAAGCGGAGGTCGCACACTAGCCACACAAGCTCGCTCACAAATACATTTACGCTAGCAAACAAAATTACATCACATAGTTGTTATTAACCAGACAATGGCTGTACATTTTTATGCATATCGATGAATAATAGAGAAAAAAAAAACAATAATTATTTAAGTAAATGCGCGTGATACAAGCACAAAAATAAGTATATTATAGCTCCCAAGTTCATTTCTGTCCAGCTCTTATGCATTTCTTGCACATAAGTAATAAGAGACGGACAAATGTCAAAACAACATGCGAAAGCTTGCCCCGATATAAAAAGAAAGAGCTAACTCCACCTGGTCGGATACTTCCGAATTACGCCGGTTCAAAGTACAAACGCACCCTTTTTCATAGTTACTTCCTGCTGTCAACGTATTGGCGTATGGGCTGAAGGCTATCTGGGAAATGTAGTTTTTTGGCGATAGATAGATAGATAGA